AATATTTAAATGTGTATCCCTCCCACGCAGAGCTAAATTAACGAAACAACACGATTGCATAACTCACACGGTAGCAAGTTATCTCTCATTGTTTCTTATTCATTTTTTTTTTTTAGTATTGAAGCTGTTTTTATTCTGTTGCCAGGGACGAAGTCGAAGTCTGTGTTCACGATCGTGCTTATTTATAACCTCACGCTGTAAAAAACATTTATTTGAAGACATTTACGCCGCTAAACATATCCAGAGATGTCGATTGCATTCGAGAAGCAACCTCTTCCCTCTCGCTCACTCATGTGTGCATATCAAGAACATGGAGGCTTGTGGTTGCAAGGTTATTAGATAGTCCAAAATGGAATAATTCAGTGAAGAGAGCACAGACTTGCGTGGGTGTGTGTGTGTGTGCGTCAGCCAAGGGTGTAAGGGCTTGAAAAGTGTTCTTCACAAATAGAAATGTTAATAACTCACCAAGCAGAGTATATATCAGTTTCCTGTACTAGAGGTAGAAGGGTTAGGGGAGAGGGTTGACAGTGGGAGGGCTACTTTCAACATTCAGGTAGCAAAGGAGATGAAACATGTCAAGCATTTTAAAACTAATTTCCATCGATATTCCAGAGCATGTATAGGATTGAGATGCTTTCCAAACAAGCCGGAGATATGTCGGCACAAACACGGTTGTCTGTTATTGCCTTCTGCTGTCAGTTCCTGTTGGCTGCTGAAATGGGAAATGTCCCTTAAAGATATGAACAGCCATCCAGAAGTATCAGATACGAGCAGTGGTTCAGAATGGAGCACGAGGGCCTTCGGTGTGAACAGCCCTGTGAAAATGTGTGACTGAGCAAGAGAGACTTAAAATGAGAGATCTGTATAAATCATCATCTCAATATCCCCCTGACGAGCCGTGGTATAGCAGTGAAGCCTCGGCCGTCAATTGCTGAAATTGTTTGTGTGAGAGGGAGATGCATTCCTCTGGGCCAACTCCGGGCCCCAAGAGCATTGAGAGAGAGCCCATTTCTCTTTCTGAACCCTCCTTGAAAATAATTGAATTTAGGATGAATCCGCTGAGGAGGAAACACTGTCATGGGGGGAGGAAGTGGATGCTTGAGGAAAAAACAATCAAAAGAATGAGAGGCAGGTGACAGCACCTTTTAGGATGAGCTTTTCTTTAAAGAATGGCGCTCTATGAGATGCTTGACAGGATAAGTTTTCATTGTCGGATTTTGAACAGATGAGCATTTTTTTGTTGGGACATAGTATTCATTGATTTGTTAAAGGTGGGGGGGGGGGGTAACTCTGCCTTCTCTTTACTGCTCTGTGTTCACGATCGTGTGTCTGACAGTTAGACAGCTGCACTGAATCTTTAACTTCTCATTGCCTAATAACCATGTGCCAAGAAGTAAGACAGATAGCGACAATAATGGATAAACACCTTTTTCATGATTACTGAGCAAATTGAGTGTTTGACCTTGATAAGCCCAACTTGGACAGATCACTTATTCAAACAGGTGGCCATCTTCTCAAATACAACAGAGACAGGCACTCAGAGATAAAGCGCAAACTGATGAAGAACACCATTCATCCTGTGTCCTTCTTCAGATTTCAGTGACCTATGCTAGCCGTTTGTAGTGCAATTAGCGTCACCCTGGTGTAAACAAGGCAGCCATGGGGTTCCTGGCCAATAGCAGTTTGGATGCTCACCACCAGCAACTCAACCGTGGAAAAAACGAAATATTTCTCTCTACAATAAAGTTTAGAAAGGGCAGAGCATGCTAAGCTTATAGTTAAGTTACCGTCAGATGGGACTGTGTGAAGTGTAGGGAGGAACTCAGAATATCCGGGAGAACCATAACAAGAAATGGGAATATGCATCAACAGATTCGCCATAAATCATGCTGTGATGACAATAAAGTCATCGGGGTTAGGGAGAGTGGTGGAAGTATATAACATCACAGGCGCCTGAGTGAAAGCAGCCATCATTATGAAGTGAACGTATTAAGTGGAGCACTGAAAGGCACCTCAATGCAAATAACTAGCGTATAGACATGTGGCGGGCAATCATGTTTTACAAATGCAAGAGTGCCCGCATCAATACGTGCGCGGCTGCCAGATGAGCTCAACAGCTTTTTAATTCTGGCTTTGATCTCCTCAACAGAGCCGGCCATTAAAGCCTTTCCCTCAGAAGACCAGGCACTTATGGATACAGCGGACATGAGAAGGGTCCTACTGAGAGTGCATTTGAAACCATCAGTGTACCGACAATTTGATCCAGACATTCAGTTAATGTCCTAACAGACGTATTTAAGACTATAAGGAGCACCTGCTACAAGATACCAAACCTTTTTCATGAGAAGTCAGCAGAGTCATGCCTCAGCAATTACCTACATGTGGCATTCTCCCTCATTCTTGTGTTGCGGTTTGAGCTGTGCAGCATGTCACACATACCCAGCTGGACTGCACTTATCTCCACTCAGCTCTCACACCTTAAAAATAACTGCACCCTTTGTCTGAATGTCGCTTGACAAGCTCTGCAGTCTGAGTACTGTACCACCTTAATTGGATTTGTATTCTTCCTCGCCAGAAGACCTCTGCCCACAAAATACTATCAAATACAAGAACTGTGAGTCCCAGGTTCCCTGAAACTTCCAGAGGGTTTGTACATTTATGAGTTTCTGGACTGCATCATCATTATTGTATATTTCCCTTACACTGGCTGGATGAGGTGCATCTGCAGAGGGTATTTGGATATCATCCAGTATTCATAAATATTTGGGCTGTCTGTCGATTAAAATAGTTAATCGCACATTTTTTATCTGTTCTGTTTATTCTGCACCTTAGAGGAATATTTTTCAAGTTTTTAATACTCTTATCAACATATGAGTGGACAAATATGCTTTATGCAAATGTGTGTTTACTATCATTGGAACAATGACAAATACTCTCCTGAATATTCTCAATAACCTCTCTCTCTCTCTCTCTCCTCTCTCTCTCTCTCTCTCTCTCTCTCTCTCTCTCTCTCTCTCTCTCTCTCTCTCTCTCTCTCTCTCTCTCTCTCTCTCTCTCTCTCTCATCTCTCTCTCTCTCTCTCTCTCTCTCTGCACTGCACTGAGCCAGTTGCTCAAACAGACAAGCCTGTTTACAGTTGTCTGCAAAATTCCGCTCCTCTGTCTTCATAGCAGTCAAAGCATGAGACTGAAGTTCCCACTGTGGGTCAAATAATGCGCTGTGATGTGCAGTCAACACGTTGGATGCGATCCGAATGATCTAACGCAGCCCCTCGTCCTCCACAATGTTAAGCTGTAGCCACCCATTTAGCTACCGCTGTTATTGTGCAGGCGTCTCCCCGGCAAACTTTCAAGCGTGGTCTGCCGCAAGCGAGCGGCAGGAGCGGGGCTGTCGGCATCAGCTGGGTGCTTGGCTTGCTGTTTAAAAACACCTTTTTGTGTATCCATATCTCTCGCTAGAATCTCCCACCATCCAACTAACAACAACAACAACAACAACAACGTCAAGCCTTTGGGCTCTGAAACTACGGGGCGGGCCGAGGACAAATACACACACATACGTTAAAATAATTAGTGGCGTTTAAAAAATGTTTGCGTTAACTTGTCAGCCCTAATAAATAAATATATATTGTTACTATTAAACCATACCCTTAAACCAACTCTTCTCCCTTGCCCATACAACAACATAAATAACATAACCTGCCTTGGTGGGAGCAAAAAAAAAAACAGTGAGAAATTGCTTCTGGAGCCATTTTCTTATTTACGGCTGCACAAAATCTCAAAGCGCAGCACTGTGTCATGTTTTCATGTGTGATTCTTCAATATATTTAATCCCATAATTCACAATATTCTCTCTCTGCACACATGCAGGCATAGTGTATACTCCGTGTTCCCAACATAATATGATTTACCATATTTGCTCATCAGTAAAGTCTGTATAACAAGGACATTAATTAGCCTACATCGCAAGCACGTTGTTGGATCAAATAAAGGCTTACTTTGGTACAGATATCACTATGAACTGGAGGAATACCGAGCAGATCTAGTGATTCAGTGGATTCCTCGAGAAACACAACATCTTTTGTGCTTATGTTTCCGACTTTCACCCAACAGGGAAAAGTAATTAGAAAGATAAGATGTTTGTGCGGTGGCGTTTAGCTTTTTCTGAGGTGGCATTGGTTGGAGAGAGCAAGGGCTGACGACAATGGGCCTTTGACGAGGAGAACACGGCAATGTCGCCATCTTTGGCTACGGGCCAGTTTCGCATGCCACTGTGAGCGTCTCAAGGGTTATTGAGGTGGCTTTTCAGGGTTTCCTCTCAAAGGGCTTTCTGGTGCAGCTTTGTGGAATCTATGTGAAGCATCTTTGTCGTGACTGAAAGACCAATGGTGGCGCCACTGTGGCCGACATGGACGCCAGAAATGCCTCTCTTTGACTATAGCAAGGAGATGTATAGCTTTGAATGTCATTCCCTTCTTCAATTCTAGTACTTCTTGGTTTATTGGGCCATATTTTGTTTTATCCACCTCGCACCTTCACACAGCTGTATATCAACAGAGAGATATCCTGATCTAAGCGAGGACCTGATCGTGTCACGTTGATCGGGAGAGAAGTTGAATCAGTGTTGTAGGTAGTTGCATAGCTCAGGTCTGCCTTGATAGAGATGAATCTTGACATTTGTATCATCAACAGCCTCCTCCTGATTATACAGCAAGTCCCTGAAGAGCCGCTGGTATAATAAAGCAGAGGCAGGGTAAACACTTCGGCGAATAGAATTTGCACATAGGGTTGTTCGATCGCTTCCAACTGAACTTAGGTCTTGTAAAAAGTTCTCCAATTATTGGCTCAAAACTTACATTTTTTTAATTTTAGCTTTGATCGAGCATCTCTTGCCAGAAATCATTATCTCTCTTTTTTATTTTGATGTTTTAGATGGATTGGGAGTATTCACAGACTGTTTGTTAGTACTGAATAATAAGTCAAGCTTTTGTTTCCTTGTAGGACTGGTAAAAAATGAAAGCTCCCATACCTCTTCTGATCCTGCTTCATGCCGTTGTGGTCCATTGCCTGAAAGTGGTGTCGAAGAGAGGCTCAGGTAAGTCTTTTATTGCCACTTTTGTTCTAATACTTGTCTCTGTACTAATCTGGGAACAAATTGTCAAATTGTATCTATTTTACTTCAGTGTCCCATTTATAAGGAGCTATATTAATTGATACAGTTGTGAATCTCTTGAACCTGGCAAGATTTCAAGGCTCTTTTTTTTAACCTGAAGCACAAATCATGTTCCAGTCAACAGCATAGGATCACATACAAACGGTCACAATTACAATCAAGGCTGTCCTGTCTTTTAACAGATTGATTTGTAACCCCATAAACACAAGGAGACCTATCCACTTCTTCATGTCTCTTCTACATCAACATGTGTCCCCTCTTCTTCATGTCTCTTCTACATCAGCATGTGTCCCCTCTTCTCCATGTCTCTTCTACATCAACATGTGTCCCCTCTCTTCATGTCTCTTCTACATCAACATGTGTCCCCTCTTCTTCATGTCTCTTCTACATCAACATGTGTCCCCTCTTCTTCATGTCTCTTCTACATCAGCATGTGTCCCCTCTTCTTCATGTCTCTTCTGCATCAACATGTGTCCCCTCTTCTTCATGTCTCTTCTACATCAACATGTGTCCCCTCTTCTTCATGTCTCTTCTACATCAAACATGTGTTCCCCTCTTCTTCATGTCTCTTCTACATCAGCATGTGTCCCCTCTTCTTCATGTCTCTTCTGCATCCAGCATGTGTCCCCTCTTCTTCATGTCTCTTCTACATCAACATGTGTCCCCTCTTCTTCATGTCTCTTCTACATCAACATGTTGTCCCCTCTTCTTCATGTCTCTTCTACATCACATGTGTCCCCTCTTCTTCATGTCTCTTCTACATCACCATGTGTCCCCTCTTCTTCATGTCTCTTCTACATCAACATGTGTCCCCTCTTCTTCATGCTCTTCTACATCAACATGTGTCCCCTCTTCTCCATGTCTCTTCTACATCAACATGTGTCCCCTCTTCTTCATGTCTCTTCTACATCAACATGTGTCCCCTCTTCTTCATGTCTCTTCTACATCAACATGTGTCCCCTCTTCTTCATGTCTCTTCTACATCAACATGTGTCCCCTCTGTGCAAAGAGACTGAAAGTTTCAGGAACAAAGATTCTCTCTCTTTTTGTCCTGATCCATTTCTATAAAAACCTGTTTGAAAATGAGCTGATCAGATTTTGGCCACTTTGTGATGTCATAACGATGTTTTGTCTTGTGTAACCATTAGCCAATCACCAACCAAGGTAAACCCCCCCCCCCCTTATCACCTGAAGCTCCTCCTAGAGCACCATTGTGTTCTTTGTAACCAAACCTCTCTCAGAGGGGCGTGGGGAGGGGCTCCTTATTGTCATCTAAAGTAACATACAGAGAATCAGCACTTTGGAAACAGGGCTGAAACAGAGGGGATTATGGGTAATGCTGCAATGATCTGTTTGGTGTTTGGAGCCAGACACTTCAGAGACATGTTTTGTATATATCTGAGACCTATAATATATTGATGAAAAACAGTATAATAGGAGACCTTCAAATTTGAGTAGTTTGTGGATTATCTTTGCCGATCATTTGCATGGTATCATCTTGTTTTCTTATTTTGTGTAGAAGATAATAATAACAGGTGTTTATTTTTCAAGGGTTTACCTTTCATTAAATAATGAGAGATGACAAACCTTTTGCACCTATACTTTACCCACTCGAGTTTCAGTGTGTGAGTGAGTACTCTCTGGATCTATGAAGCACTTTCCAACTCGCTCTAGAATTAATACCAATTGACTCTCCATTCCAAAAAGACAATTACTTTCTACAAGAGGATGGATGCAAGCTAGAGGAGAAATCCACACTGGCTAAGATGAAACATAAAGGAAGTATTTTGCATTCTTTTTTCTCTCCAGAGGCTGCTTGCGTCTGGGTTTTTACCCGTGCATATTAGACACAGGTGCGGGAATGGCCCAAGGCTCATCAAAGGGTTTTCTGCTTTTCCAGCAGAAGTCCCTACGGGCTATCTCATCGGATGCTTCACGAGCTATTGCCTGTGGCAAGGATTTGAAATGTGTCCGCTGATAAATGAACACCCGGTCCGAGCCAGACCTCTGTCCTTTGTTCCTTCTTCTTTTAGATTGTACGTCTTTATTAGAAGCCATGCTGGGAGCAAGTGAGAGCACCATTGTTCTGGGCAATGAAAGCCAGTTTTAAATTGCATTGCTTTCATTTATATTGAATGGAAAGAAACAGCGGGGTCAGGAAGGTGCAGATCCCGGTGTCATAGCAGGTACTTTTTTCAATGAAACGTTTTCCAGGGTTTAGGGTTCCTTTATTTATGAGATAAAACCAGTTTCAGTTTCATTCGGTCATATTTTTACAAGTGATAGTCTCATTTACCTTTGGCTCTCTGATCACCTGCCATTTGTACTCCACTTCGAAGGGCGTCTTTATGCATGGTCCAAAAATATGTGGCCAATACTTTGGCATTAATTACATCAAAACTCTTAGAAGTTGCTTCAATATCTTAAGGAAAATATCACGATCCAATATGAATTTACAAAACAACCTAATGGTTCAATCTATATTAAGACGAACTGAGCTGCTCCAAACTCAGTAAACATGTCCTGTTTTTCATTCTTACTTTTATGAAAAGAATCTCACTGTAGACAACAGCCCATTAAAGGAAATTAAATATCTTGATTAACTCCCGTAGGAACAATAGATCCACTATCTTACTTGCTTTTTCCTTTCACTAGGCATGAACACACACACGCACACACTAACTCCAGAAACCCCTGCACAGTGCTGCATGTGCACTGCTATTATCTGTAGATGATTAAATTCAAAACACCCGTCTCTGAGTAATGCTTTGTCTGCATTTGTACTCGAGGTGGAACAGTGCAAAAACATACAATGCATATCTGCCTTACTAATCCTCAGCATGCATAAGTAGGAGAACATATCCATTTGTCCTCTGCTGCGGTTCCTCTTTGTAACAATGCTGAGACGGCCTGAACGCTTGAGTGAACAGAATAGTAATTACGTATAGTTTTCATACAGCACATCAAGCCGGATGTTGAAGTAAAACCCGGCACTTGGATGCTCTTGGATTGTCAGTGATGTTAAAACCTACGCTGCCCAATTCATTCCAGGAGATGATTCTTGGTTGAACTCCACCACATGTTGTGGCTTCATTTTCTGTGGAGAAATGTTTTTACGATCAGTTTCTGAAAAAATGTCTCCCTGGTCCAAATGTTGAAGTGAGGCCTTCGATAGATTTGATTTGATATGTCCTTTAAGAGATGTTCTCCTATTCTATAATAGTTTAAGGTCACTGTAATTGTGCTTAAATGCTCTGTCTGTGCATAATATGTCCCGCAATAAGCCCATAAATGCACAGATCCTTACATGTTCCAGTGTTTGTAAGATGACTGGAATGAGCCCAGTAGAATCTCAAACAATGACTTGCTTCTTTCTGTAGCGCAATGCCAGACCCTTTTGGTCATTTATGGCAGCGTCCTCCAATAAATGAAGATATTTTCACATTTTACATATCGAAAAAATGAGCACTGACTAATTAGGTTTTAGGGTTACAGCCTGCTGAAATCCTTAATGTACCCTTAACTCATCAATTATTAGGTAAGAGCTAAACTGTTGACATTGAAAGCATGAAGAAATTATATTGTGGAGGTTTTGACGATGTTTGGTCACTTTTGAATAATAGAAAAGGGGGAGCTGTATCTATTTTTGCATTTGAGGGATTCATGGAAAGAGAGTATTTCTGTTGCACTTGGTATTCCTGGTTCTGTCGCTGTTATTGTCTTAAACACACAATCGGCTCCCTTGTTGGCCACTTGTGCCACACTATACAATAGATGCTTGGAAGAGCTCACTAAGGAATCCCTCAAACTGCCCGTTTGGTTACTTGGCAGTGAGCTGAGGAGAGCAGAATCCTCTTTCTGTGCACCACACAGCTGCATTTAATTTAATATAAAATAGAAACTGCAGAGTTCACGCAAGGTCTCGCTTTTGACTCCTTTTGAAGTAATAACTATGCATTTATTCTTCTTCTCGCCTCTGAACATGGATTAAAATCACAGTGAGAGAGAGCTTTGGATACTAAAGAAGACTTTTGGAAGACCTGGATACAGAACAGTATATATTCTCTAATACTGTAGTCGTTTTCAAATGTATTTAATGTGCTTAGTATTCATGTGCATCACGTCGTGAACCCTGCAATGCTTCGTGGTATTCAGTTTTGCTCCATGCTGCTTCACGTACGTATTCATTAGGAGTTAGTGTTATCCTCAGGGATTTCCATCAACACTGTCTGTTGATAACATATTTGCTGTTTCCACAAAGCCAAAACGTGAATAATACTCAATGAACTTCCTCTGAGTCCATGCTTGCTTTATTCGACCATTCATCAGATTTGTAAGCGATTGTTGACTCCCAAATCCACACAGCAGTTCAGAAACCTCTAACATGGGCTCACAAAAGTTTTTATTCATTATAGAAGAAGAGACAGACCCCCATTTAGAACCAGGGACACTGGAACACAATCCGCTTTTCAGCGTTTTGCCTTTGGCTTTAAAGTTGATTTCTATTTGACATTCACTAAAAGTCTCCCCTTAACAAAACATGTCCCCCAAGTGAGCATCGGTGACAGTTGTAGATTCACAATCATAGTCCTTGACACTGATGGAGACAAATGTAGCCTCTCTCTCCTCCCCTCCGTTGTACAGTCATTAGTCCCAATTTCTCCCGCAGACATTGATGAGTCCCCAGACAAATGATGCTTACCTTTGCACAGTCTCCCAGTAATTCCAGGAATTTATATGTATATAACCCATAACACTGAATCACAGTGAATGCATCATTTTGTCATTCATGCACACATAAAAACCCTTCTCCAACATGTGTTCCCATTTGGCAATTCAGATCCCTGCTCTGCTTCTAGTTTCTGTTAAGGATGGTCTTATAGGTCCCGGCGTGTCACTCTGATGAAGAGTAGCTGTAAATA